CACCATAATCTGAATTTTTTCAACAAACTTCTTATATTCTCAGTTGCAACATCCCCATTTTAAACAACTTAATGGTCATTTTTTTAATAAACAAATTGTTAATAAATTGAGTATGAAGTATATTAATATTCCATCAAATTTTTAATAGTTTGAGCTGAGACCTTTTCTAATATCCTAATTTCATCTATTGTTTATGTTAATATTAAAATTGTGGTGAAAAGTAAGCATTTTTAAGAATGTATTGTATGCCCACAAACATTTTTTTAATGTTTTCTTGTTTATCATTTAACCATCATTGACAGTTGTTGCAGTTAACTTGTTGTTATACATTAATATCTAATTATAAATTATCTACCAGTACATCAAATTACTCAGAGTAAGATAGTAGCAATAATATACTTTTTACACACTGTGAGAATTTTTGATACTAGCACCACAAACTATATTATATACTACAGTAGAGCATTGATTATCCGACCCCCGATTAACCGTCACATCGGTTAACCGATTGTTCTAGTCAGCAAATTCAAATGTCCGCTAGTGATGTGGCGCTACAATATTTGGCTATGTCTTGGTTACTTTAATAGTACTTTTACGTGTTTTAGCTGGCAACACTGGCTCGACCATGAAAGGGAGCCNTGGCGCCCCCCCCCAAACTGTAGCCCCTGTGCGAACAATAAAGTCAAAGGAACCATACCCCTACTCGCGATCCTTCGCGAGATATAAGCCCCTGAAATAATAAATTCCTATTACAAATATACTGAATTATTTATATTGTTATATTGACCAAATAATAATTTATGGGCCAAATGAATAATAATAATTTATATTGTTAATTTAAATAATAATTAAAATTGTTAATTTGAATGTTTGAAATATGACACGATATGGGCGCCTCTAGTGTCCGTTATCAAACAGTTACGCAGACGGACACCCGTTGAATGGGTTATATATATAGATTATTATAGTTACTCTACTTCAGAATTTTATTTTATTATATTTATATTATTTTATTCTGTTAATTCTTTGATTTAATTATAAAAATTAACAATGTAGAGTATTCTACTTTAAAATACAATCAGAATTTAATTTTTGTGCCTTAAAGTGTTGTAATAAAATTTAATTTTAACACTTTAATATATGAATCTGTTGATAGTGCTCTCCTTTATATTTAATCAGATATTTACTTTTTTTCATCACATTTCATTCTACTAATGAAAAATTTCTTATGTTCACAGTTTTCATTTCCAGTTTGTTTATAGTCTAATGAATAGTATTTCATATAAACAGAGTTTTAAATGAAAAAAAGCTTTAAAAAAATTTCAGTCAGATTCAAAAGATCAAAAACTTGTGCAAAGTTAAACATTATTTGAAAAATTCATAAAAATATGCATACTGGTTTTCAAGTAATTTATTGTGGTAAAGCATATTTTATTCAATTTACTCTTTTGGGAAAATAACTGCATAATAAATGTCATTTTATAACTTATTTTTTGACAGAAAATTAGAATTGTGTCTTAAAATAAAGACTTAGAATATACAAAAGTGTTAGAATTACAGAAAAAATAATTAATAATTATCACAGCAGCATCTCTTAAAAATAGTATTTAATCAGCTGAAATATCTTTACAAAGTAGCAAAGCTTTATTATTTCATTAATATATCAAAAGCACAGAAAAGAATAATTAGATGTTACCCATTTTATACAATTTATACAATTTAAGTTGAATTGTATAAATTCTTAATGTACTACAATTAAAATCATCTTGTGTAAATGTACTATATTTAAAATAATCTCATAAATAACTGCTAAACTTTCAGATTCTTCTTAACAAGTAAAAACAAAAATAAAATTAGTCTAGAAAATTATAAATTGATATTTTATCTCAAAACTCAATACAATAATAACAAACATTGTTTGATTAAGAGATACAGAGATGAATAAACAAAATATTAATTTGCAAAACTTTAATTTGCTATTTGCTACTAAATTTAACTTTAATTTTTACTCTCATAATAAACGTTGCTCTTCATTTGTTAATGAGCTTTTAATTATAAAAAAATTTGTCATTCCAGAAGGATACCAGGTAATTTTTATGGATATTTCTGATTATGCAGTTTTTCATTACAAAAAAAATCATTATTGTTTCATAGACTGTTATTTAATGCCTGGATTATAATTATAGCAATAAATTATTGGTTACATAATGATTCAAAATTTTTATCTGTCATTACATTTATCTCAAAATGACTGTAATATATCCAAACATACTGTTTTCTGAGCATTTAAAAATAACAACATTAAACATATCTATTATAAACTTTCATGTATATTATATTATAAACTTTCTAATATAAATTTTAAGTAATAAATTATAAATTTATATCAAGATTTTTCATTAACTAATAAATTCATTGTTTCAGCAATTCATAAATTCTTAGTCTTTATTATCAGTAATCTGATAATAAAGACTAGGAAATGAAGTTAGATGTCTCTGTAGTAATCAACTAATCACTTCTTATCACTACTAATGATTCTATGACATTCACTACATATTCTATGACATTCAGAGCACTGAGCAGTTACTATCTATAATGTGCAATATAATATTAATTGGATTTGTATATTTTATTTTAATGTATTTCATAAAATAAGAATAATCTCAAGCATATACTTCATGAAAATTTTATGCATTTTAAACAAAGGCATTCTTTATAACTTTTAAATTATTTATTTTCATTTTTGGAATTTTATGTTGTTTTAATATTTTTTTCCTCACCTTATCCTTTTAGCTCATATTTTTTTTTTATATTGTTATGGGTTTTATTATTACATGGGGTGAAAATCTTTAGTCTCAATCAGACTTTTCCTAATATAGATAAATAAATAAAAATTCTATCTTAGGCTGTAAAAATTTATTAATTTTTTACATTGCAGAATCTTTTGAATCAGAATCTGAATCTTTACCAGAAGGTAATTAAAAAAAACAAATACTTTTTATTTGATCACATCAATAAAGCTTTTTTAAATTACTTGCATATAATCTGAGAATTCAGACTCACTAAAAGTACCTAGTATGTTCATCCACACCATTTTACAATTTAGATATGGAGAAAATTTATTACATTTAACTGCTTTTTCTTTCTACATCAAATTATAAATGCAAAAATTAAAGATTTGTTCATCTATTGTTGCTAATTATTTAAATATTTAGTCTATGCAATAGTAATGATGTTATTTACAGAACTTTTATATTTCTCAGCAAGGCAATGCACAGAACCCTGGTAAAGTTGAATGTAAACAACTGTCATTTCAAGCAAACTAAGAAACAAAGTTTCTAGTTAAATATATATTTTTAACTCAATAGTGTTACTGAAGGAGAAATGATTATTCTTCCATTGACACTGGATTAAAGAGGTTTAAATTATAAAATATATTAATTGTTCAATTAATATTTTCTGTAAATCAAATAAGTTTAATCTATGAAACAATACAAAATATAAGTGAAGAATTAGAAAACTATATTAAAAAAATATATAAATCTACAATTTCTTGTATTTCTTACAAAACAAATAGATAATAAAATATTTTAAATATTAATTTTACTATATTAAATAAATTTGTGATGATAAATAGATAATTCAGAAAAGTGCCATTTATTTTGCTAAAACAATTCTAAAAAATCCTATAATAAAAGTAATAAACATTTTCAAAATAAAAAGAAAATTAATATGAAACACCACACAGTCTTCTAGCAAATAATATGTAATGGAATCAACTAAAAATAAATTTCCTAAATTTAGAATCTCTGCTAACATTCTGTAATGATGAACTACACTTGGTGCAGGCCCAGAAAGAGACCATTTTTAATTGATTCCAATACTTATTATTTTCTGGAAGACTGTGTTTCTGGAATACTTATTAATTTTTCTACATACCAGCTTTTGGAGACATATAAAAAGAAAGTGATGATGATAACAAAAGAAGAAACGTTCATTTTTAAAATACCTTAAATTATACATTTGATTAACAGAATATTTCTACTAGAAAAGGCTATAATGTTTTCACTTGAATTATAGTTTAATATTAAGCATATCTATCAATTTCTTAATCATTAACTGTAAACAAAATTTATCAATTATTCAGACATTTTTTAAATACAATCATCAAATCTTTTAATCAGTAACTTTTTATACCTTTTATACTAAAAGCTTGAGTATAAATTAAACAATTTAAATAATAACAATAAACTATATTCATTAAAATGACCATTAAGTTGATAAAAATAAATCACAAAAACTAAAAGCATTAATAACGTTTCCAAATACTTCAAACTGATGATCTGCATGCACGTGAAAATGTCCTCCAATTTGAAGTGTCTTATCTTCATACTGAAGAAAATTTAGGCACTTTCTTTATAATTAGCACCATACTATAAATATGTAGCAATGATGTTAGTGCATATGCTGTAATAACTCTGAAAGCTCGGGCATATCAGTCAGTCAACTTCCATATAAGTCATGCTGGGAAGAATTAGATGAGAAAATGCAGAGAAACTATGATCAGATAGTAAAGAATAATCTATAATTTTAATCATCTTGTTACGTGCAAATAATCAGGGAATAAATTTTAACATTAAATTAACAGTGATTCTCAAGTGCTTGACAGTTAATCATATATTTGAGAATCCACAATGAAAATTTTTCTCATCTACTTAATATTTTAAGCCAATTATTAATTAATCAAATTTTTAAATCTCTGTCCAAATGTTGACTCCTATTGATTAATAATATTTATTTAATGAAATAAAGATAATCATTATCAAATAAATTTATGTTCCATTTTCAAAGAAATATTGTTAAACAACATGCAATTTCCCAAAGAATGGAATCTGAAGAGAAACATAACCCATGAAAATTTTATATTTTACATCAAATATTCAAATTATTAAAACAGATTATAAATTTCATAAACATATTTTTTTATAAATAAAACTTACCTTCATCATAAGTAGTAAAGTATTGAGCACAATTAATATCATAATACAATATTCAAAAATAGTTGATACAACTACTTTCCAAATTTTATATTTGATACCATATTTGTTTTTGGGCATGTACCTCTGCAGAGGCTTTGCTTGTATTGCAAAATCAATACAAGATTTCTAGAAAAAAAAAATTAATTTAAAAATTAATAAAAAGAAAAAACATATCAGAAAAAAATAACAAAATTATGATGATTTCTTTCATTAAAATTTTTATAGTAAGTTAACCAGATTTCCTGCTTTTTTGTATAAATGCACTACTACAAATGAAAAAGGCTTCAAACCAACACAAATGCACAGATAACAATATCTGGTGGAATGCTATGCAAGCCAGCTGTTTATGCAGAGCTGGCTTGCATAAACAGATTGTTAATTTTCAAAAATTAACGATCCAGTTATTAATTTATTGAGAACCAATATCATGTTAACAATATTGATCAGTTAAAGCAGAGCTAACCAGATCAGCACCCAAGAAAAAGCATACCCTATAACAGGGGTGTCCAACCCGCGGCCCAAGGCAAGTTACAATGCGGCCCAATAAACGTGTAAACAAAACCAACAAATTTTAAATTAAATTTAATTTATTTATTTCAACGGCATAAACTCAAAAAAGAAGTTTCACAAAGCTGTAAATCTTTATATGTCTTTTACTTTTGAGTCGAAAGGAAATATTTTCAAATACTTGGAAATGTGTGAATGAGGAAAGAATACTAAATAAATCTAAAGTTGAGACTCGAAGAATTATAGTCCCAAATTCGAGGAAAGGAGAGAAAGGCCAAAAGATAAAACGTAGTGAGAAAGATTAAATAGACTTTCTGTTATGCAAATATGGACCCTTAATTTTCCAACTTTCCTCACTTCTTTATCTTTTGTCCTTTCTCTCCCTTCCCCGCATTTGGGTCTATAATCCTTTGAGTCCAACTCCGGCTTTATTTAGTATTTATTCCAGGTTTGCATGATTTGGCTACTTTGCGCCAAAGTTGGCTACCCGTTTTTTAGTTTGCCGTAAAAAATATCATTTGGCGCATTGGCTATTTTTTGGGCTACATCTTATTTATAAATATATTAGTCGAATAAAAATGCATTTTAAAATGGTGTTTTGTCAATTTTTATTAATTAGAGACCCAAATATTTGTGTTTTTCAAATACATTTTTGTTCGTCTCCTTTATAATAAATGAATTTATCCATTTCTAAGTAAAAATTAGAAGTGTCTGTAGAAGTAATTTTTTAATATATCCTTTTTTGTGATAAAGATTTAATACTTATTACTATAATCTAGATATGTTAATTCTTAAATATACAAGTATATTTAAGGATTGGGCCACAAGTATATATAATACACTTGTGGCCCAAAACTCCATGACATTTTCCAATGTGGCCCAGAGAAACAAAAAGGTTGGACACCCCTGCCCTATAACATTTTTAGGATAAAATTTTAGAATTCAGTTCAGTTAGTTATCAAACTTCCAAACACATGCACATGTTCAAAGTTAATAATGAAAAACAGACTTATGCGAACACCACTTAACAATGGTGCTAGATGCTTCTATAAAATTTGATACAATAGAAAAGCAATAAAAATATTCTTAGATATCTGATAAAAATTTCATTGTTTAACACACAAAAAGATAAAAACTCCAAAAATGTTCTTTATCTTTTAATGCAGATACATCAGTAATATATAAATTTGTAAAAACAAATATTTAAGTTTTTTTTTACATCCAAAGAATAGTTTTTTATTTTTATTTCATTTTTCATAGTGAGTCATGTCTAAGTTTTTGACCTAACATACTGCTTTTTAATTTCAAGATCTGGTCACTTTATTTATATTTTTATATTAATTATCAATTATGTTTTAATGTATCATTATTTTTTAACTTATTTGTCTTTGTGTAAAATGACTAATGCATACATAATTAAATCACAATTAAATTTAATAATCAATATGAAAACCATTAATAGTATTTTTTTATAATGGCACAAGCAGGTAAAACTAAATATAATGGCACAGAACAGATTGAAATTATAATAATTATACAATTAACAATTTTCTAATTCTCTTTTTAATTTATTGTATGTCATTATGTTGATTTTTCTGAGATTTCACATTTTTCTGACAGCATATTCTATGTCCCATTTTGTTTTTTCTGTAAGAAATTTACTTCCACTCAAGTATTTCTTGTCAATGAGTAAATGAATAAGTGAATAAATTTACTATATTAGCTATACAGTTTGGTTTTGTTTTATACAGGGGGTATTACATGGTTGGCAAGTAGTGCATAAAATGAAATTCCATGTAAATTTTTGCTCAATCTCAAGTAGTCCCAGATGATTACCTAGACACTTATAACTTGTATTCATAAGTAGAAAAATGAACCAACCAGGTTATTCAGTGAGTAATTTAATTATGAAGAACTAAATAGCACTATTTAGTTCTTCATGTTCAGAATGTCAGAAGCTGTAGTAGTATGGGATTTGCTGACTTAAAAGTCAGAACCAATGGCACTAAGTATGTTATACATTGATTTTATTGTAGTATGTTATACATTGATTTTATTGTCTTTCAAAAAAAATGGTGATAGGAAGATGTTGCTGATTTTATTTTAATTCGCTGAACATAGTTTACATGGTCTTAAAATATCAAATCACTTGGTATTTTAAGACCATGTAAACTATGTTCAGTGAATTGCAGGACCATTGAGAACTTATATTGGATCCAGGGCATAGAGCAAAAACCATATTCTGGTCATCATCTCTCATCTCTGAGAAACAGTGTCTACATCACAAGCCAGTCACTGATTGGCTAATCATTTGTTTATGTCTCGAGAGATTATCACATCTCTCCAAACGCAATTCTGGACAACTTTTTTTCTCAAAGACTCTATCATCTCCCAGAGATGAGCAAATAGACATCTTTCAACTGATCTTTTGTCTTCTGCCTCGATTTTGTTATATCCAATATGGATGACTGGATGCTACTCACGCTGCACAATTGCATTAGAGAATGTTCTCTATCTCAGGAAAAAATATTTTGAGAAAGATAATTCTTCCAATTTTTTTGAGTGCCTACTTGGGAACACCACTGACTCCATCTTTTTTTAATGATCCTACATCAATTACTGAACTATTGATAATATGATGTTAATCTTATCCATCTTTCCAAGTATTTTTTGAAATATTACCATCTAATTTCTCCTTAACTAAGTATGTACATGTACACTTTTCTCAGGTTATTAAAATTTGTATTTGTTAAGAGACGTTACCAGATACAATTTGTAGGCCTGGGAGTGCCATTTCCCCTCTGAAAAAGTGAGAAAAGCGAGTTGAAATACAGAAAAAGTGAATAAAACGTGAGTGCAATAGTGACAAAACAAAGTGAAAACATGGAAGAAAACTCAGCAAAATAGCAGTAAAAGTTGTTATTTTCTTTTTATTCTGTTATGATTAAACACATTTTAAAAATGTATGTATATGTATGTACAGTAGCCACTCATTATATCGTGCATTTTTGGTCCCCTTATTTTAAAAGCATTTGAGTCAATAAATTTTAAATTACCAATTGTCACTGAATTTCTATTTGAAATGAAATATGGTATTTTATTTCTACTATTGTCCTTGAAACTACCACTGAAGGTGAAACAATAAATTCGTCAAGATCTAAATATGCAGAACAGATGGATAGATCGATTATCATTTGTTTCCTTTTAATATAAAAGTTGTTTATTTATTAGTTTTAAGTACTGTCTCCTCATTTACAAGTTTCTATAAATTCAAAATTTCACATCTTTATGTGAATTAACGGTATTGTGTCAATTCACATAAAGGTGTGGGCATAATATGTAAGAAAAAGATTTCTTTAATTCTGAACGGAAAGTTCAAAAATTTTTATACAGTAGTAACTTTATTTTGCTTTTTAGAGAATTTTTGCTCTGTAATTTTATAAGTTTTGATGTTCTATTGTATATTCAATACCTATTTTTAAAAATTTTCAATTACAGCATTTATAATTTTTATTGAAAAATATAAACTACACAAATTTCTAATAAGCAATTAATATAGTACTGTATAATAAAATCGCAACTGATTTGTTTTTATATCAACAGTATTTGTCTTTCAATGTCATTGTTAAAGAAACAATAATGCTAAATGGGCATTCATGGTATCGATGTTTACATAAACGTCAATTAATACGATATAACCACGAATAAAATTCAGGATTGAAAAACTAAGCTTATTTTATATCAGAAACACTTAATGATGAAAGAATAGAGATTCCATAACATGTATAATCTGTTTAGTAAAAGCCCAGAATTTTTATTACTCGGTTATATCACGTTTTTTCCTGTCTCCTGATAACGATGGCTACTGTATTTCCAGTAAACCATGAATACTTGAAAAGTCTTTAGCTTTTGTAAATAATCAGTCATGAAAGATGATGCTCTTTTATTAAGATTATTCTGGATGTTTTCAGCTTCCTTCTTTTTCACTTCCTCTTGCTTTTGAACACTTAACACTAATAAGCATCACACGTGTTGCTTGTACTTCATTCATGTTCTTGCTGTTAATAGCCTTCTCCAGTTTTTTTGTTTGCTGTTTCTAACAAAACTTGGCCTATCGCATGTGAGAGATCTAAATTACCCCTGGGACTAATTAATAATTAAATTGAATTGTTAAAATTTAAACGAAAAATATTCTTTGATTTTGGTGAGAAAATTAAGTTTTTCTAAACGAGGGAAACTGATAAAAGTCACTTCCTGCAACGGAAGTTGAAACATCCTTTTGTTTTCCCCTTATCTGCTAAAATCTTAGTCATCCTGGAAATTGTTATCCCCTCGATAAATCCCCTTTTCCTCTGTTTACGTGAGAGAATCCAACATGCTGATTGGAGAACAATTGTGAGAAATAGAAAGAATTTTGCATGATTCAAAAAGTACGCCACAAAATCTCAGAGAAGACAGACGTATTCCATATTGGTTCCCCTAAGGCCAATGCCTTTAGTTAGGAGGAGGCCATGGAATTCCATAGAAGGAAGACGTATTCCATATCATCTCCTGAAGGCCAACACCCATATTATACTCCCATGTATCGTTAAGTCAATAGATAAAGAAGAAAATATATA